AAAACGTACGTTTTTTACAAAATTTTGTCTAGTTTCTGTAAAGAGAGAGATGTTTTATTGTTGTAACGGATAGTTATTTCTGAATTACTTTTCAGCCTCGTGAAGCATATTAGCTGGACCTTAGTTCCTTGTTTGTCTGTTTTGAATTTCGCGCAAAGCTACACGAGGGCTATCTGCGCTAGCCGTCCCTAATTTAGCAGTGTAAGACTAGAGGGAAGGCAGCTAGTCATCACCGCCAACTCTTGGGCTACTCTTTTACCAACGAATAGTGAGATTGACCGTCACATTATAACGCCCCCACGGCTGAAAGGGCGAGAGATTGCGAGTCGAGTGCTCTAACCACCTGGCCATGCTGGGCCAGTTAGTGAAATACTTACATGCATAGAATTCCCTAATGGAATAAGTATGCTTAGAAACGCTTTCGATTTAAAGAAAATGTACACAACTAGAGAAACGTACCATACCTAAACTGAAATATTTCTTGAATCCAAGGAAAAATGTAAAGTGAGAAAAAAGTCTAATTAAAAATGATAACGTTTCTTTCAACAAGAACAAAAATACAGCTAAATAATACATATGATATTTACGTCATATAAATTCCTCCCCACTTGGTATCATCACTAATGCCATTTTAGTGCGTTATTTTGACAAGATGTTAATTTCCTTATCGTCAGTAATTCGTTTTGGCTTAAAACAACATTTTATACATTCAAAAACCAAACAATTATTTGACGTATTAATTCAGAATTAATAAACCCAATACTTTGTTTAAAACAAAATTGAATTTAGTGCTGGCCTAAATATGTATTTTTTTATGTGCTCGCCTATTTATACTGTGTTTAATAATAATTCACAGAATTATTTGAGAAATATAATATCTGTTTGTTTATTCACCTAGATAATTGCAATAACATTGTCATCGCATTCTCGATGGGGGGGGGGGGAGTACCGTCACACTTTAAACGCAGAAAATATTCTGTAAATTCAAATGTATAGCATCAATATAATTACATGCAAGCCTAAATTATTACTAGCTTTATATTGCGAGCTTGTTTTGAGACGTAGAATTAGACCAGCTTAAGTGGTACTTAACAGACTTAATGGGTTAACACTAAATGAACTTCGAGAGTAGGGGTATTATGCTAGTTACCGTGAGACAGACACTTTCTGTCCACTTATGAACAGGCGGAAATAAAGTCTAAACAACAGCAGTTGCCTTATGACTCATGTGTTGAAACCGAACAACAACAACACCCCAGCAATGAAGCAACTCCTTGTTATACGAGATCGTGTTCATTAAAAAATGTTATACGCATGTTAGTGTGCTACATGAGACAAATAACAGTAACGAAGGAATAATAACACTGACAAGTTGAAATTGGTGCTCGTTAATAATGACACTGTTAAAAATGACACCAGTAATGAGGAAAGTTAAAAAAAATTACTAGGTAAACTTCTTATACATACAGTTTAGCTTTTTTGATTTGGGAAAAAGTTATGTTATTGTTTGTCTTCTTCACCCCTCTCTTTTCACTACTAGTGCCACCTATTTTCTTTAACTTGCTTACACGAGATTCACAAATCATAACGTTATTTCAGACTTCATGTTAGGTTTGTACGATCCTACTGTACGCTAGACGAGTTTGTCAATTATAGTTTATACCTTAGGCCTAGAGTAAGTTTCCTCACGAAAGTTCCCGTTGCAGGAACATTGGCGATTCTAATATCACATTAAAAAACAACACCATAATGAACCGATTCAACAATCTTTAAGTTCTTTTAGGACTAGCAGAAAGCTATTAAAAGTGTGAATTAGACTGAAATCACACAGTTTTTATAGTGTTAAGCTCGACGCAGCAAATTACCAACTAGTCTTTCACAAGTCTTCTAATAAAACTTTTAACGATTCACATGATCCTAGTTGGTATTTCGGCACGACGTTTCTTTATTTCCACATCGTCGTTCTTTGAAACTTTCGACTTTTCACCACACGGTGGCGTTTTAGTGGTGTTTGTTCGTAGTTAAGCATAAAGCTACACAATGGGCTATCTGTGCTCTGCCCACCACGGGTATCGAACCCCGGTTTCATGGTGTAAGTCCGCAGAATTACCGCTGTGCCACTTGGGTGGGGGGGGGCTTTTACTGTTGTTAGTTCAATACTTGCGCCAGCGTTTTCAATCCTCTCAAACATACAACTTATCTACTTTTGTTGTATTCATTTATATTTATTACTATTAGAGCACCTTCTATGCATCACTCTCTCTCTCTACATGTTTACTAATTCATCAAATTATCCATTTTCTGTGTATTTATTTGTCCCTCAACTTGCAACATCTGTTTGGCTTCCTAACGACAACCACCTATCAGCCAGTCTCTCAGTTTGTTTGAGTATAGTTGTAAAGTAAAAATAGTAAACTGATATTTTTTAACGCAGCGTTGCACTAAAAAGGAGATCTTATGACCTCACAGACTGATTAATTAATTTTTATCTAAAAATATTTTTTATGAACTTAAAAGTTTAATGAGTCACCTTCTGCGACAGTTAAAATACTTTTGAGTTGCAATAAAATTACAATATTGATAACATATTAATAATTAAAACATTTATATTATTTAATATTTGAAACCTGAACCTTCCAAGCAGACATAAAGGTTAACATGTTAAAAGTGATTAAACTAAGTAATTATCCACAATGTTTTAGTAAATTTACGGGTTGCAATACGTAATGGAAGGGCTTGGCATGGCCAGGTGGTTAAGGCGCTTGACTCGCAATCTGAGGATTGCGGGTTCGAATCCCCGTCCCACCAAACATGCTCACCCTTTCAGCCGTGAGGCGTTATAATGTTGCGGTCATTCCCACTATTCGTTGGTAAAAGAGTAGCCCAAGAGTTGGCGATGGGTGGTGATGACTAGCTGCCTTCCCTCTAGTCTTTCACTGCTAAATTAGGGACGGCTAGCGCAGATAGCCCTCATGTAACTTTGCGCGAAATTCAAAACAAACCAAACGTAAAGGAAGGCTGATCCGAACACACTTTTTTTTTTTATATATACATATGTATAAAACATCATTCAGAAGTGAAACATCTTACCGAAATCTGACGTGCAGAAATGTTCTTGAGGATGGGACTCCATGCATGAACATCCCTCACAAATACTCCGAGCAAGAAGCAGTGATGAAACTCCAACCAACAACCAAACGTAAGAATATCTGGTCACCATGGCAACTGTTGATCCGTTCCCTTGCTATCGTTTCAGAAAGAACATGAAAAGTTAACTTTTAGAAAAGCAAATGAGTGAAACGAGAACATTAAATACAATTAAATGAACAACTTATTTTGCCAAAAATAAGGAGTAAGTACGTGAAAATATTCCCCAATACTAACTAACTTTACTTGAAGAAGGGCAGTAAAACGAAACACCAACTATTGAAAACAGTTTACTGGCAGTATTTTAACACTTATCTTGTTACTGTTGTTTAACACTTTAACTACAAACATTTCACAGTCGGTACTCTCGTCCACTAATCAAAGTTACTTTAGTTGAACTGCTGGCCACAAAAGCACCAATTCAAATAATCGATATAACTATTTATTTCTGGTCCTGGAAAAAAAAATGGCACCGGTGAAAATGGCATTAGTAATAATTTAACTTCGAAAAAAATAGCACACTAAAAACGGCATCGTTTCTGCGCCCCACCCTCAAAAAACAAAATACTGTGCTTTTTCCATGGGTCGTATTGTTTAATAACGCCATTAATAGCGATGTTATTTTGCGTCCCCCCCCCCCTCCTACGTATTATTTACTGGTGTTATTTTTTTTTACCCAGTGATTGAATTAACCTATAACATCAGGGGTACACGTGTTACCCTTTCTTAGAAACTTTAATGATTCTCCCAGATCATCACAGTCCACAAACAGCAAGAAATTTCAAAAATATTTTTAAAAAGTGAGTCATCCAGGCAATGGGTTTCTAAGAATAAAGAAACTTGATCTTTCGAGGAGTGCTTAACTCTCGGAGAGGTACGCAACATAGGAAAAAATTATATTAATTATTAATTAAAAATTAAAAAAAATACTAGCTAGAGTAGGATAGTAATATTTTTACGATTCGTACTAAACTAAATTATAAAAACAGTTTTGAAAAGTATCGCAGAGGGGTGAGTGGGAGCTTACCGTGCGTGTTCTCACTAAGTAGTGGCATAAAATCTTCCAAAATTCACGAAGGCTTTCAATTTAAATTAAAAGAAAAAAAAATCCTTTCGGTTAAGAGCCGTGAAACCGTAATGACAGTCAGTAAACAGTCTGCCAACCCTCGTTAAGAACACAGTTGAAAACCTTTACAAGCTGACACCAGAGGTCAGATTTCTATACATCACAATCTCAGCACCTCGAGTCTCTACACCAGGTGTAGCGATAAGGGCGTCAAGCGGGGTTGGTTAATATGAGACGCCCAGGTGTTGATAGTTAAAAGCCATCAATATCTCCAGCTGGAGACGAAATGGATGCGATATTAACCTTACCCCTGATACTCCCCATCGGTCTTTGTGCTCTTTAGAATAGAAATCGTTAGCATAGCGACAAAAAGGTACTTCAAAAATAATAGAAAAACTAGTTTATTATGGCCTCCCAAAGTCACGACACAACAGTTCATTTGAAAGCCAAAATCTTATGGTGGTTTTGTTACAACTCTGTTTCTTCAAAAAATAAATTAAAGCTAGCCCCACTCTCGGTAATCACCAATGTTGTAAGCAGGTGGTTCCTAATTTTAAAGTTATAAAATTACAAAAAAATCAAAATACTTGATTTGCCCATGCGTGTGTGCTGCTTTATAATTTACTCTGAGTTCTTAAAAGCAGGTCCTGCTAACGCCAGCCAGACTAGACTGTAGTGAAGAGGTATTAATCCGAGTTCTTAAAAGCAGGTCCTGCTAAGGCCAGCCAGACTAGACTGTAGTGAAGAGGTATTAATCCGAGTTCTTAAAAGCAGGTCCTGCTAAGACCAGCCAGACTAGACTGTAGTGAAGAGGTATTAATCCGAGTTCTTAAAAGCAGGTCCTGCTAAGGCCAGCCAGACTAGACTGCAGTGAAGAGGTATTTATATGCAGATTGAAAAGTTTTGCTGAAAAATCAAACGATCACACAAATAAACGTTTCACAGTGTAGAAATATTCTTTCACACCATATACATGCCACGCCTTTTTATTTAAAAAAAATCGATACGGGTGTAGTAACGAGTTGTACACGTGTACACAGAATCCGCAAAAAAATAGATACGTACTTACAAGTTGCTATTTCACAAACCTGTGCACACGTCACAGTCGAAAGATATGTAGTTTGATAAGCATCACAAAACGTGCATTTGTAGTTTCGAACATACGGTTTTCCTATGCAGCCCACTCCCTCCCTCCCCCTGCTGTGTTATAATATAAATACGATTTTAACCCTTTTCTACTACACAAAGTACTTTCAATTAATTCTTGCGTTAGATACACGCGCAGTTCAAATGCAGCTGTGCTGGCTCGTGATATTTATAAAAACTTAAAAACTTCTTATTATGCTATATTTTCAAAGTTGTAATTTGTTTAATAATGCTTGGAGACGGCTTGAATGGGTAATGAAGAAAAACTTTAATAAAAGTTTAACATAACAGCAAATGTACAGCGTTTCGACAAGGTTTTGTCATCATCAGGTATCTTGTCGAAACGTTGTATATTTGCTGTTATGTTAAACTTATATTAAAGTTTTCATCATTACCCACTCAAGCCGTCTCCAAGCATTATTAGTATACAAAGCGGGTTCCTCGTCATCGAA